TGACGAACATGACGCGCCCGTGCCAGGTGCCCTCTTCTGGTCCTAGTTGCCCATCCAGCGGCAGCTCTCCTCGAGGCCGGCGCGCTCCTGCGGAGCGACGCACCATTTTTTTGCGTGGCGCTGCTCGGGGGCCAATGTGTCTCAGCGGTAGCTCGCAGCGCCCTGGCGGCCATCGCAGTCCGGCGCGTCCTGTGAGCTCTTCGGGCGGCCATCGTAGCTCTGCCAGCGGCCCTGGTGAGTCTGCTCCAATCCCTGGTAGTTGTGTTTGTGACTCGCGAAGCTCCACTGACCCTCAATACTCTGCTGACGATCCTCGAAGCTGGGCTAGTTGCTCTCGTAGCTCCGCTAATGATTTTGCTGGCTCTGCTGGTGGCCCTCGAAGCCCTGTCAGCTGCCCTCGTCTGTCTGCGTGAGACTTCGTGGCCGCTGGTCAAAGGCACATCGATTTGTTCATGGCGCCTGGCTTCGCCTCTGCCGAGACACCGGCGCGCGCCGGCCTCTGGAATCTCCGTGACTCGGCGCAGGTGCGACTCCATGTGCGGGACGACATGGCCACGCTGTGCTCTGAGGGCGCGGGGCGTTGTCGGCTGAAATTCGCGAGCGAGCGAGTCCTGGGCCCGCGCGGGGGGCGACGACCAAGCGCTTTGGACCGTCTCGTCGGCTGAGATCTTGGCCCGCGGACCATCCGCGCGCGAGACTTGAAAGAACAAGCCAGGCTCGCAGCCCGTAGTGGGCTCGAGGGTATCCTCATAAATCCCACGCTGCGCAACATACCCCCGAAGTACCCTCAGGGCGCCCTGGTCGCGATCGACACCCCCTGACTTGAAACTTCTTTGCCGACTCGGGAAAACGCGTTCTAACGCGCGCAGTGCTAGGTGCTAGGTTCATCTGCCAGTGCTCTGTCTCCCGCCTGTCCATGGAAATCGTCGATCCCCCTCGAGCTCCTCGCAGCCTGTAGTGCCCTGTTCCTCCGCCCCCCTCGGCCCCGGTTCCAGCTTCTCGCGGCCCCTCTTGCCGGGGTCGGCGACCTCGCGCTCCGCGGGAGGGGGCCTGAACGGCCCGGGAATATCAAGCAACGCGCGCGACTAAGATTCCAACGAGAATTTCAGCCCAGATGATCCGCCGCACTGATCTCCGCCACCCGGAGAAATAGGGTGCGCGGGCGCATTTGAGTCGCCGGAATCCGCCGACCCCCCGGGGGTTCATCGGCGCGCGACATGCCCCCCTCCCCAGCCCCCTCCCCGGGAGCACGGCCTGGTCGATCTAGAGGGGGGCACCCGGGGCCCGGGCGAACGCGCCCGGGGGGGCAGGAGGCACCGAAACAAGCCAAGAAGGCCACGAGAGGCCCTCGGGGCTGTCCACGAGGGCCACGAGTCGCTGAAAGATCAATCAAAAACGCCCGCGCTGGCCCCCAGACAGCCCACAAGGCCCCCGAGGCGCCCCGAGTAGCCCCTACGAGGCGCCCCAAGAACGCCCCCAAGGGCAAAAACCGCTCCAGTCCCTTTTGGTAAACATGCATTTTCAAAGTATTCGCCTCGCGGGCGTTCGCAACGCTCCAGACGGCCCACGAAGCCTTCGAGATCGCCCCGAGGCGGGCCAAGAGGCCCCCGAGAGGGCTGCAAGACGACCTGAGAATGCCCCGCGACGGCCCGGGAAGCACCCGAGACAGCCCAGGAGGGCCCCAGGACAGCCCCGGGAGAATGGCCCGAACTAACATTTCGAATCCCCCACTCTTAGGCGCCTCCAGGCCGCCGCGGGAAGAAGCCCCCAACGGGCCCCCCAGGGGGCCCCGCGATGACCGCAAAGGGCCCCGAGAGGCCCCTAGGAAGCCCCCGAGAAGTTCATCAACTGCTTCCACGACGCACCCGCGACACCTCCCACGAGACCCCATCAGCCGTGCGCCCGAATAGCCTCCGACCCGCAACCCAGGCCCGGTGGCGGAGCGTGCCGAAGGCCATCCGATAATCATTACTCGGGTGTCTTGACAGATGCCCGCCGTCTGCGCGCGCGGGCCCCCGCCCGCCCCCCCCCGCGCGCGCGGCGACCGCGGGGAACGTCGCGCCAGCCCTAGAGGCGCCGAACAGACCCCCAAGAGGCCCCCATGACTGCCCAAAAAAGCTCCAAGAAGACCCCGACAGGCGCGCAAGAGGCCCTCGGGGCCCCAAGGGGTCGGCGGCGTGGCGCGAATCTCCGGGAGCCGCGCAAGAATCAATCGTTCTCGGGCCAGCGCCGCGCGTCGAAGTGCGAATCGCTTCTTCAGGGCCAAAAGCAACTGCTGACCATGAAGAGATCCACTTTTGCATCTCCGTCGGGGTGGCGTTGAAGCCCCCGAGGATGACCCGCGGGTCCGCGCGGCGGGTCATCGGGGCCGAGACAGACAAAAGCATTCGCGGGTCGCTGGCGCTCGCGACGCCGACGCGCGCGGCGGGGCAAACCGCCGCAATCAGCATCACATAATCTGCCGCCTGCCACTCTAGGGCCACCATGTCTCGAAAACTCAGCGGCCCCGGAGTCCGCTGCGGCGAATCTAAATCAACCGAACCATGGATATCGTGCTGACTGCTAGCGAGGTGCCTGAAATAATGCAACTGAAGATGACGCAGTATACCTGAAACGATTTCCCCCGCTTGGCCCCTCTCCGAGATCTTGCGAGCGAGGGGGGCGAGGCCCGCGCGCCTGTTCAAGGCCGCCACAATGCTAATCTCGCTCGCGCCATCCTCGAGGACGCGGGGCTCGGGAGTGAGAACGACGTCCACCACCTGATCAGATAACAACTTCGTACTCTTCCCACACCGCATAGACAACTTGTGAAGGGCTATCGTTCGGGTATTCGATGGTGTCGGGACCTCGTGCTCCTTCTTCGGGTGCAGCCGCGCAGTGCTACAGGCGGCGTCTGCATTCCTCCAGCACCTGGTTTCTTCTCTGCACGTTCCAATGTTTGAGCACTGCTGGTCCTCGCTTCCACCGACAACCTGTCGGTCTCCTCCTGCTTCGGCTCCACGACGGCCCCCGTAGATCCACTAGCTGCGACTGCTCCGCCTTCAGTGCGACGCTTCTTGGTAGCCATCGTGCTTTTGAAAGTAATGAATTGATGGATGTCCCTTGCGAAGAACTCTTGAAACGCCTCCATTGCTGCAGCTCGGAAGAATCCATTTTACAGACCTGCAATAATTCAAAACTCTCACCGCCCTCAAACCGCAACAACTCCGAGAGGGTAGACCCCGCAGCAGTCGAGAGCAAGGCCATCAAGTTCATGGCCGCGCTGGAAGGTGTTGATAGCTGGCTGTCAGAGTTGGCCCCCATTTGGTCACGGAGCTGCTGTTGCATGCTGCATATGCGATTGTTGCTCCACGCGCGAGACGTTCGGCATCCTCCTTGGTGCTTGAGTCATTCCTCGCACTCGGTCTCGTTCTGGACTGCCTTCTCGAAAGCCTCCTTCGCCGTGCGGGCTGCCACTGCTGCATCATGAATATGCTGCTCGCGTAGAAAAGCTGAACGCTCTGCTGAGGTTAGGTTAGCCTGCTGGGTGGACGACAATGTTCCTGCCAAAGCTTTGAGGTGATCCGTTGTGTTTGGCGCCAGTTTTCGTTCCAGGTGGTGTAGCACCTGTTCTATCGTCGGCGCAGAGGGCGAATCCTGAAGCATGTCAGAGGAAGCGGCTGGGGGCTGATTCCAATCTCCTGGTGGAACTGAAGGACTCGGCTGGCGTTCCGCTGGGAGCGGGCTCTTCCGCCAACGAGGCTTCGAGCCTACCCATGCCCCCCGCGGCCGATTATACCCCTGTCTGACTTCAGGCTGCAATGCCCCACTACACTTGCAACGTGTCGCATGATTGCGGACATTCCACGGGGCGCGTAGCCAACACAGATATGCTTATGTTTCCTGCCATCCCTACTACCTTCCAACGACGTAGCCGTAGTAGACGAAATGCTCGCCCTGGACCGAATTATGTGGCTCGACCTGGGGCGGACCAGGCCGAGACTGCTCCCACGGGAGCTCACCGACGCCGACTGGGAAGGATCAGCCGACGTTCCAGCCTGGGGCGGACCAGGCGAACGGATGGAAGTCTAGACGCGGAATAGCTGCTGCCCTGAGGAGCTCAAAACCTTCAGCCAAAATGGCTACGGAGGAGGAGGACGAGGAGGAAGAGGAGGAGGAGGAGGAGGAGGAGGAGGAGATGGAGGAGGAGATGCAGGGGGCAGGTCCAGGTCAGGACCGCGCATAAACCCTCCCAATTTCGGCCGGGAAGGCACCGGCCAGGAGGGCCACGGGGGCCACTTGCAGGATGTATCTCCTCCTCCTCCTCCTCCTCCTCCTCCTCCTCCTCCTCCTCCCCCTCCCCCTCCTCCCTCCTCCTCCTCCTCCTCCTCCTCCTCCTCCTCCTCCCACCTCCTCCTCCTCCTATCCCGTCCTCCTCCTCCTTTTCCTCCTCCTCCTTCTCCTCCTCCTCCTCCTCCTCTTCCTCCTCCTCCTCAGGACCCCATCCCTCAGGAGCCCATCTTGGAACCACCGACCACCCCCTTGCAGCCGCCGAGGCGCCGTGCCATGGCCAGGCACGGTGGTGGCGTATCAGATACCGCTCCTTGAGATCCGACGTCGCGACAAGCGTGCACCATCGTAGAGCACTCGACCAGGGCCCTGGCGAGCCTACCTGTCTGCGGCCGCTTGTCAAGCGGGATCCATGCGTGAGGGCCCCGGGGCCCGAAGCAGGGCACGACCGCCCTGGGCGGGACAGAAACTGCGACGCCAGGATTTCAGGGCTCTGCGGAGGCTGCGCCGTCTGGCAGAGGGAAACGATGATTGCACACCCCCTCGCTCCCCAAAACTCAAGGTTGGCGCGCGCGCGGGGAAGACTGCGGTCGAAGTGCAGCTCGTTCAACCCACAGCCAACATGGGTCACCGGGGGGGGGCCCTGACAAATGAATACGGCAGGAGTGTTCGCTGATCGTGTCCGCGGCCCGTCGCGCCCACGCCCCCCCCGCGCGCGCGCGCGGGGGCACCACTTCCAGCAGGGTCCGCAGCGGAATGACCTCGTCGTCGGCGGACGACGGGGCGGTCTGCCAGTCCTGCGCGGCGGGCGGACGCTGGCCTCGCCCGCGCCGCCCCTGGAGGTGACGGCGAGCAGCGACGACGATGCCACCGGCCCCCCCCATCCCCTCGAGCGCGGTGTTCAACGATCCGCGACAATTTGATGAAAGGACAGCAGACACTCAAACTGATGAGGAAGGTTTGAGGGCGATGAAGGCGCGAATTGCAGATGTAGGCGTGGATTGCGTGGCCCCGAGGGGGGCTCCCGCTCGAGCCGGGAGCACCATCCGACGACAGACACACACGTAGCCCGACGTAGCCCCCTCGCAGTCCGGCCCCGATAAATATCGGGGTCGCATGATAAGCGTGGGTGCCAACTGTCAGATCATGACCAGTTCCCGTCATCCGAGGCGCCCACCCTCTCCCCCCTGGGCATGTCACCATCCGCGGCGGCACCATCTGGGAACGGCCAGGGGCAGCCAGCTCAGACTGCGCAAGCGCGAGCCGTGCGGCTACATAGGGTAGCGGCCGCCATCGCGAGACGATAGAAACGGGCTCCTCCCATTGTGACGAAATCACGACGGGAGGTTTTTACCGTTTTCGGCCCCCAGGGGCCCTCGCCGAGCCCCAGGATCGTAAAAAAACAATCTGGGATGTAAAGCTGGCCCCATGGGAGAAGGGGCCCAATCTTGTGGGGGGGTCGACACTGTGAAGCATCACGACGTCGGAGCTCTGAGGCGTCGACGCCTCCGGAGGCTGTTGTCGGGGTGGCGAAAGGGAGGCTGGGGCGGGGTACCGAGTCAGCTCACGTACAGTCGGGGCGTTGACCTAAGGAACCCTAAATATCCCTAAATAGTTAAGGAACGAGGCCCCTTTCTTCCATACGTTTGAACTTCGATGTGCCATCGAAAACCTAAGGACAAGCGAAGGCAAACGGTCAAACAACTAAGGAACACCGAGCCCCCCCAAGCGAAAAGGGTTCCGGCTTCAACGCTCCGACTGTAAGAGATTTCGTGCCCCCCCGTCGTCCGATCCGATTCTGGAGGCTCTTGTCGCAACGGATGGGCCCTTTCCGAAGCAGGTTCTCGTCGCCACAGTCGACCCAGGCGGGGCATCCACCATTCCACTGAGACCAGCCGACGCAACCCCAGACAAGGAGCTTCCCACCTCTCTTGTGGTTCACGCCGCCACGCCCCTCTCAGCACTGGCGGAGTTTCCCACCCTCCCAGTGGCTCACGCCGCGGCACGATATTGGGCCCGACATTAACTCGACGATCCTTGCATCATCTTCCTGATTCCTCTCACGACACAAGCCGTTAAATCCATTATATTGGGAAGCACGGCTCGCGCCAGCACAAAGGGACTCGCGAGCTCGGCTCGGCCACTCAGACCAAAACTCCAGCCTAGCGCACTGGAGCGTGGGGCCGCAAAACGTCACCGGGACATCACTGCAGAATGCCCGATGCACCTTGCGGATCTTGGGTCGGGTCAGGCATGCCCCCCTACAGGCGGATTTTGGAGGAAGACTAAGAAATTGCCAGAACACATCCAGAAATACGCAAAAGTAGTCAAAACCTCGTCCCCGGACTATTTTGTTGCCTACTCTTGGATATTCCTCCTGTAGGGGGGCATGCCCGACTTGAACCTCGGGCGCCCTCGCGTCGACCCGAGATCCCAGCCCCCGGCATCGCCGGGCAGTCGCGACACGACCCAGGCCCCCTGGACGGACACGGCCTCGAGCGCGACCTGCGATCCGATGTCCTCAGCGCCCTCGACGCCCTCCTCTTCACCGCTCGTGCTGTCGCCTGCCTCCTCCGCGTCCTCCCTCCTGAGCAGGGACCGACCGTCCCGGCATTCCTACAGGCCTGCCACGAGCTGCTCTCAGAACCCCAATGTGTTCTGAGAGCACAAGCAATGTTCTCAGAACGCAGACCCGATGTACTAAAACGAGACACTCCCAGCCAGAAATGTTCTAAGAACATCCCGTAGAAACAACAAAGGGTTCTTAGAATGTTGTTTGGTGGGCCTATAGGCGAGCCAGGACGCTTCGCCACTGCTTGACCCTCTGCTCCAGGGCCACCAACCTTCCCGGCCGAGTGACGTCTGGCGGGAAGGCCTTGTTACAGATCTTCTGCGAGAGCCCCTCCAGCTCTTTGGGCGGCCCCGCCAGTGCGTCCCAGGGCCGACGCGATAGCCGAGTGGCCTTTTAAGCGTTGGTAGCGGCCGGCAGCGGCAACTCGACGCCCGCCGTCGGCAAAGCCGATCTTCGAGAGCACCACACCTGACCCAGTAGACGTGCGGCTCTGGCCACAAAACCCGTCGGCGAGGAGCTCAAACATGAGGCAACTGCCGGCGTTGGCGCACTATCCGCACTCCGATCGGAGCGACGACCACGCGACGACGGCGACGACGACGACGACGACGACGACGACGACCTCCACCACGGGACTCCCAAGACCCCGAAAGCACACGCGACCACGGGCAGCAGCTGGCCTGCCTTCCTAAGCCCGTGGGCCCGCCTTGGTGCTCGTCGAGCGCGGCAGGTGCCTCTGCCAAGCCGCGCTGCTCAACCGCATCGAGGACGGGCCCCTGTTGCACCCTCGCGCCGCCGCCGAGCCTCGCCCTCGAATAGGCAATCCAGAGGATGAAGCCCAAGACGATGGCTTCGGCCTGCGTAAGGCTGCCGCCTCCCTTCTCGGCCACGGCCTTCTCCATCTGGACAACGGCGTGCGATTTGAGCGGCGCCATCTGGACCGTCGTCCGCTTTCGCTAGAGCCCAACCGACGCGATGCTCTGGGCGCGGGACGTGAAGGCAGTCTCGGTGTCCACGCCGAACATAAGCCCCTGGAGCACAACGCCTCCAGGAACCGTGTGCCCCTGGTCGGCGCGATCCTGTAGGCGTGTCGCAAGTGCTCGAACACGGCCTCCTCGGTGATAGGGCCGGGCGCGAGGCCCTTGGACGAGAAGCGGCGTGTCCCTCGACGACGCGCGAAGGGCACCTGCCACTCGGAAGAGCTCCAAGATCATGGCTCACTGTGCCAACCCTGACTCCGGATCCGCCACACTTTCTCGGCGATGTCGTAGTTAGGCTAGAAATGACCGCCCCACTTTTTAATCTCCTTTGATGCCGATTTTCGCCCTACTCTGGCGTCGCTGTTTCAGCCCGTGCTTGTGCAGAAATATCCACCCCGACTTTTCTGAGACTGACATTTCCGCCTCAGCGCATTTCCGACACAACTGCAAGTTGGAGGATCAACCAAAATACGGCGAATCCGTAGGCAGGGCGGAGCCCATCTCCCATGGCAGGGCCGGGCCCAACGGCGCCACACCTCGCCAGGCCCACGCCATGTCACCCAAGCCGCCAAACCTCCGCGAACTCAGCAACCACGCGGGTCGTCAAGTCCCACCCACCCACCCCGCAGGGGAGCCGCGGCTCGAGGATGGAGCAACACTCAAACATATAGCGCTACCAATTGATTGGTGTGTTCCGGGAGGAAGGGTGGGAATGGGCGGGGCCGACCTGGCTAACTTGACTCCCAACCCCCACTCCCGAAATCGCCTCACTCCGCGGCGACTCGGCCAATCCGCAGTGTGCAAGTCTGAGCAGATCAGGGAAGAAGCATCACATGAATACACCTCAATACACGCCTTAGGCTGGTGTGGGTAGCACCGCCAATTCCAAGTGCGAAACATTGTACGCACGTGTATTAGAACCATCAGAAGGTGGGACATCCCAACCTCCACCGGCACCGATTTTCCCAGATGGGAGAGCCTATGAACCCCGCCCAGCATCCACAGGGTTATACCTACCCTCATGGCATCAGCGCTACACAACAACCCTCATCCTCCCTCCTGGAGGGGAAGGAGGAGGGCCCAGAACACGGGCGTCGTGCTTTTTCATCCCACAAGGCAGCGCTGCTCTCGAACCCATCCTGGGGCAGGTCGTCCGAACAGGCCCCGAGAATCCGAAGTCATGGAGAAATCACCCGCCGATGTTATTTCGTCACGCCTGGAGCTCTGCCCCCCGCGCGGAGGAGGGTCCTTCGACTCTACCCCGCCGCTGTACAATAACCTCAGGAACACGCGCATCGTCGCCACGGGGGTCTCCGGAAGGGAAACCTTGCCAGTGGCACCCTCCTCGGCGCGCGAGGGATGGAGCGAGGAAGAAGAGAAGAGGAGGAGGAGGGGCAATTGAATTCGCCGGCCCAACGGGCCAGAGGCGTGCTAAGATCTCCGGTAACTGGTTAACAATTCTCTAGTTCGCGCGCGCGGGGCGGCCCCTGGGGGTCCCCGGACGAAAAGTACCCCGGGCGATCCCCGACCGATCCCCGGGAGACTCCCCCAGAGCGCTCCAGGAGCGCTCCATGAGCGCACCAACAGGGCTCCGAGACGTCCCCGAGAGCCCCAAGAAAGGCCAAGAGGCCCCCAAGAGGCCCCCAAGATGGTACACGAGGGGTCCGACATGCCACAAGATCGCTCCAAGACGCCCAAGATAGCCCCCAGACGCCCCAAGAGGCCTCCAAGAGCACTCCCAAGAGGGCCCCCGGAGGCAAAATTCATTGTTTTCCTTAGGTTTTTGAGAGATTTTGGAGCTTCCACCTTTTCGGCTTCCCGACGCCCCAAGACGGCCCAAGAGGCCCCCAAGATCGCCCCAAGAGGGCCCAAGAGGCCCCCAAGAGGGCCCCAAGATGGCCCAAGAGGGCTCGAAGACGGCCCAAGAAGCCTCCAAGACGGTCCAAGAGGGCCCCAAGAACGCCCCCAAAGGGGCCCCAGAGAGGGAACACGAAACAACATTTCGAGCCCTCGGCCCTAAGAAGCCCCTACGAGGCCCCAAGAGGCCCCTAAGAGGCCCCAAGAGGCCCCCACGAGGCCCTCAGGAGGCCCCCAAGAGTCCCCCAAGCGGCCCCAGGAGGCCCCCCAAATGCCCCCCCGAGCGCCCCAGGAGTCCCCCAAGCGGCCCCAGGAACCCCCAAAGCGCCGCATTGACACCAGGCCCTCGGGCAAACGGCAGACATGAGACTGTATGGGCCGGCGGAATGAGCGAAGCGATTAATAATATTTGCAGAGAAAGCGAAGCGACCCGCGGACATTTCACTCAGCGCCTACGGTACGGTGGCTGATTACTCACCCTTCCCCCCTCCTCCCCATCCACCCTGTCCTTCCTCCTTCCTCTCCCCATCTTCGTCCCTACCCTACTCCTCCCTTGTGCCCTCACTCGCCCGCTCTTCCTCCCTCCTCTCCTCCCCCCAGGTCCCTTGATTACCAGACTTCTTGGGTACTCTCGCGCGTTCTCGAGGATCCCTGCTTGAAATTTGGATGCCTCGGGAGCGTGGCTGGGAATCGACACAACCGCCCAGGGATCTTTTACGTAGGGGCCTCCTGGGCCGTCTTGGAAGCCCTGGGGGGCAGCCCAAGGAGGCCCACAGAAGTGAGAGCCTCGAAGATTTTGACAGATTTTCGAATGCTGATATTTTCGGTACTACGGGCATCCAAGACGCCCACGAGACTCCCAAAAGCCCCAAGGGGACCCAAGATGGCCCACATAGGGGCCCAAAATGCACCCAAATGGCCCCCCAAAGGGGCCCAAGAGGGGGAACACGACCTGCCAATTGGGCCCCTCCAATTTTACATGACATTCCTGGCATGTGCCCCTCATTCGGTTTCATGCCATCTCCGCGTAAACTGTCATATCCTTCTTCAGCTCCACATCATCGTCCCATTTGATCCTCGCCGCTCGCACTGGGCCATTGGCCATTCTCCTCGCCACTTGTCTGCTCGTGCCAGCTCTTTCCACCGCTTTTATCATCTCGTCTCTTTTCTGCTCCTCTCCCGTCCCATTCCCTTCACGCCCCCCCCTCCTCTTCTCCCAACCCCTTGCACCCTAAGACCTGGCTGATGCTAATGGGGGGGGCCTGTGCTCATGGGAGGCTGCAGCACAGCTCAACGATGTGTTGTCAACCAAACCTGCAAGGTGGTTCGACTTCAGCTGTGGGTGCACCATCAAGCGCCGTCGGGCCAGCTCACCCGAGTAGATTTTCTGCTCGCATGGGTGCCTCCCCCTCCCCCCTGCAGCCCGCGCATCCCCCCTCTCATCCTCTCCCGTCCACGTGTCGCCATCTGGGCACTGCGTGCTGGTGCGGTGTTCCGGCCGTCTCTCCACATCCCCTCTCCTGCCCCACCTCTGCGCTTGTGATGCAGCGCAACGCAACGCACACCGCCAGAGGCGGCGGAGAGCTTGAGAGATCCACCTACCAAAAGAAAAGGAACGAAGCTCGATCCTCGCCCCTCCTGGAGGAGCATCAAGCTGCATGAGCACAGACGGTCGAAGTTCCGCTCGGATTTCCTTTTTGGTCAGCGCTGGACCCCCCCGGCCCCTGGCGCGCGAAGCGCGCCACGGGCGCCAAAGGTGCCGCCAGGGTGGGCCCAGCGCGGACCCGGGCAAACCGCGCGGACCTCAGAGCATGTATGTTCATGCCGCTGCTTGTCCCTCGACCTGCCCTGCCGAGCGCAGACTCTCTACGTCTGAGACCGCCTCCCTGCCTCCTCCTCCGCGGCCGCTCCTCCCTCTTTCTTCCACCTGCCTCAGTGTGTCCCCAAAAAGCTACTGGAGCGCGTCGGCGTCCGCTCTCGCCGCTGGGGGGGGGGGGGGGAGGAACTCGGCCTCTCCCCTTTTCCGAACCGACCTCTGCTCCTGCATCGGCGGCGAGAACATCGTGCCGAAGGCGCTGCTGGCTGCGGCCAGCACGCTCTTGTGCGCCCGCTCCTCCTCCGGGGCGGGGGCGGGGAGGAGCAGGCAGCGCAGGGCACCAAAGGCGACGGCAGGGACGAGAGCCAGCAGAAGTGCGTCCACGCTCGACGTTCGAGTGCTCCAGGCCCTGGAAAGCTTCTGGAGCTTGGCGGCGCGCACGGAGGGGTAGGGAGGGGGGGGGGGGCTTCTTAGAAAGAGGCTCCTTCCTAGAAGGCGCCGGCCTACATCTGCAGAGGAGGCCCGCGCCTTCCAAGCAGCAGGGGTGCTGCTCAGAAGCCCTTCCCCCCTCCCCCTGCCCTCCTCGGCGCGTGGCCGAGGAGCCTCCTCGTCGCCACGGCTGGACTCTCTGCTGGATTCTGGGCGGGAACCACCCCAAGACACGTCAGGGCGGTCGCTTCGGCCCCCGAACCCAGAGATCCCATCGCTGTATAACACTCCTCCTCCTCCTCCTCCTCCTCCTCCGCCTCCTCCTCCCTCCTCCTCCCTCCTCCTCCTCCTCCTCCTCCTCCTCCTCCTCCTCCTCCTCCTCCTCCAAACCCGGATAGAGGTGCAGTCCAAAGCGCGTGAAACGCCGGGAGACGTTTGCGAGGACGCTTGAAAGGATGTCTGGGGAGCTTGCAAGCAAGAGAGTAGGGCCTCCCAGGAACTGAGGAAGGGTTTCGAAAGAGCTGCGGCAAGACTCCCCAGAAACGTGTTGGGAACGAGTAGGAGAACGCCTGCGGGACACGCTGCGAGTTCACAAGAGTTGCTGCATGGATGCCTGCCTGGCGCCGGAAAGAACTGCGGGGCTGCCCTGCGCTGCCGGCTTCTAATATTGATGAAGCCCTTCTAGCTCTCAGAGAGCTATCCGGGAACTGTGCATCCGGGGTCCCGACCCCCAGGGCTTGAAAGGACGATTGAGTAGACCGCTTGAAAGAATGCCCAGAAAGCCTGCAAGCTTCAGAGAGACGCTTGCAAGGACGCTTGAAAGGATACCTGGGGAACTTGCAAGCTTAAAAAAGGATCTTCGCAGAAGCTCCCAAAGAGCCTCGAAGGAGCTGTAGAAAGGTTTTCACCACGCGTGCATAGCGGGCACGGCCGCAAGAAACCCTCGCAAGAAACCCGACCCTGAAAACCCACGCGCGAAGTGCACCAGAGGGGAACCCCGGAGCACCCTGAAGGCAGCAGCTCCTTCAACGGCTGCGGGAAGTCACCGCGCAGCGCGCGGTACAAAGACACCCAGGAGACCCCGACGAAAAACGTATGGTTTCTTGATGCGCGCACCCACTGTAGTGGGAATGCCTGAGCGGCGGCCGTGGAAGGAGCTGGCCTAGCCTTTGCTGCCAGCTTCTGATCTGAAACGCTCTCAACTCTCAAAGGAGCTATCCGGGAACAACCATAAGGAACTGTCAGCCGTTTTCAACCTCCAGGGGTACTCGCTGGGCCCTGGCACCGTTAAGAAGCGGCTCGAGATGAAAGGCCAGCCCCACGGAAGAGGTCTTGATCTCTTGAAGACCACGTTGTGCAAAACACGACGTCGGAGGAATGGGTGCCCAGGCAATACGTAAGTCATGCCCTCACTCCAGGCGTAAAGCCCAGCGAAGCTTTCGTCGGGAGGCCTACGCGCTGGCACTGGCAAGACTGCTGGGATGTGGCCACCTTTGCCGACGAGGGGGGCGGGTGGGGGGCAATCATGTCAGCGCTGTTCGGCATGCTCGCCTACTCCGCTCGCCTAAGCGTGCTCCTTCGCATCAGATTCCCCCTCCCCCATCACTATAAACAGCTACCTGTATCACCTTACATATGGTTGCATGTCTCACTCTCTCTTGTTCCCAACCATCCTGTGGTGTTCGGTCCTCGTTTTGAAAAGACAGTCCCCACGTTTCTTCCTCCCCCTCCTCCCTCCACCGCCCGCACGCGTCCGCCACTCCCAGTACAACGTTTCGTGGCCCCATCGGGAGCCCCTCCGAAGGTCGCAGTGCTACCGCCCGCATGCATCCGCCAAACCCAGTGCAGCGCTTCGTGGCCCCATAGGGAGCTCCATCGAACGCCTCGGTGCTACCGCCCCCGTGCGTCTGCCACACCCAGTACCGCGCTTCGTGGCCCCAAGCACCACCGACGGCCTCAATGGCACAGTCCACATGCGTTTCCCCCACCCAGTACAACGTGTCGTAGCCCATAGGGAGTTCCACCGAAGGCCCATGTGGCAAAGCTCGCATGCGTCTCCCTCATCCAGTACAACGTTTCGTGGCCCATGGGGAGCTCCACCGAAAGCCCCAGTGGCAAAGTTCACATGCGTCTCCCCCACACAGTAGAGCGTTACATGGCCCATAGGGAGCTCCACCGAAGACGATACCCACAATTGCGGAACTCACAACTGCATGTGGTTGTTTGTTCCTGGCAACAATGATACTGGGGACGTACGGGTTTCTTGAGAGCACATTCAACGGGGCACCTTTGTAGCCCCTCGAAGATCACAGATATTCAGAAATCTCCCGCGCAATTTCTTCGTTGCATTCTTTGCGACGGCCCCGCCCGTAATAATCGCAAATATTGCGTGGAGAAGCTGCGTTGGGGATCTTTGACTTAAACTATTGTGATGCGCCGGAAATCGCAAACAGTTGCAGCATCTTGGCAACCCGCAGGGAATCGCAAAGAATTGCTGGACCTTTTTGTGATTCACAGCGAATCACAAACATTCAAAGATGCTCAGCGAGGCTCTTCGCGGTAGTCCCTGTGACGGTCAAGCCTTTGATCACAAAGACTGCGTGGAGAGGCTGCGTATGGTTGGGTCCTTCGCCAGGCAATTTCGACTCACTGAAGTCCCGACGCCATCTCCTGAGGGCCATTTTGTTTCATGCGGATCGGCTCTGACGCAAAAGGGGAACCCTGCAATCCGGGAATTGTGTTTTTTTGTTGCCACGGGCGTTTTCGCTCCGATTCGTGCGCCAGGGCCCTCTCGCAGCGATCGGTCTTGGAAAACGCAGCAGGGCATTGGGGTCTGGAGTTCTGGTCGTGATGTCGCACCATGTTGCAACGTACTCGTGCCGCTGGATCTCAGGGAACCCTGAAGATGTCTGAGTCTCCCGCCGGCCCTCCAGCGAGGCTCCCCGTCGGAGAGCTTGAACGTCACGTCGTGGAAGCTCTGGTCCTGCACTGTGCATCGGGGGCACTCCCGCCGCAGCAGGCGCGTAGGCGGCCGCAGCGAAAGGAGGAGCGCGAGGAGAAGGATCAAGCGTACACGTCGTTCATTTCTAGTCGTGCTCGTTTCTAGATTGTTCCTGGCCCCCTCGTGGCCAGGAAGAGGCCCGGGATAGAATAATCAGAAATGACAGGATCTTGCCCCCCCCAAAAAATAAAAGAACTCTCGAATAATTAGAAACGAACAGTGCGTACCAGAGACAGGAAAAGGATAACACGTCATAAACATCAGAACTTCTGGAAGCCCACGCGTGGCCCCACGTGGAGCTCCACCCCGAAGGCCTCCGCGGCAGGGTCCGCACGCGTCCCCCCGCACACTTCGGCACGCCCTGCACGAGGATCGTGGCGGATAGAGCTCCACCGAAGGCCAGGAAGCAGCAGGAGCCGAGGCAATCCGCACGGCAGCAGCCAACCAGTGTAGCAAGGATGCGCGGTAAGGATGCACGGGCCCTGGACGCCCACTTCGAAGCTCTTCGAGCGGGGCGCGGCCAGCGAAAGCGGCGAAGGATGGACCGAGGATCGTGGCGAATAGACAAGCGCGTTCCACTACTTGCAAAGTAACTACTCGCAAATGGCCTGGATCCGCCACAGGGGATCTACGACATATTACACAGAGGCAGACGTATGGTTTTCTGACGTTTGCGGCACTGTGCGAGTAGTGGAACGCGCTCGGCGAGCGAAGAGAGCTCCACCGAAGGCCAGGAAGCAGTAGGAACCGAGGCAGCCCACACGGCAGCAACAGAAACAACGGTGACACATACCATCCGCATGATCAGCACGCACGACATCAACACAGCACTAGACCAACAACAGCAGCAGCTTCACGGACAACAGTGCCAGCAGCAACAAGAACAACAGCCATGAACTCAGCAATAATAGCTCCCTGGCAGCCACGGTAACAGCACTGACGGCATCAGCAACAGAAGGTCGAACATCGATCCCAGGGATCTGTCTTGGGGTGCGCCCCGGTCAGAATCTCGGGGGGAATCCAGCGGTGCCGACGAAGGGGCTCCGGGGGCAGAAATGCAGGCAACAAAAATCCAAAGCCTCGGCCTCTGAACCATCGAGCCTGGACGACGGCGGCGTCCAGGCAGCCACTCCGAGGCCGAGAGCCTCGTCCCGGGCGGCGGCGGGGAGGGGTGGGGAGCTCTCCTCGAGCAGGCGGTCGTAGAGGTCCAGTTGGCCCTCCGCGGCGGGAAGGCGGCTGGGAGCGCTGGGCGTCTTCTGACTCCAGTCGGGCTGTGCTTGAGCTCCCCTCAGGTCCGCAAGCGGGGGCAGGTTCGAAGTTCGAGGTGTTCGGGCGTTTTCGAATGCTCTCCTCGGCGGTTTTCCGGTCTCGGGGATGCCTTACAGCAGCTGCGCCTCGCCTGGGAGCGTTCCAGGGGTGTCCGAATCGTCCCGAACGGCCGCCAGAGGCCCGCGTGTTCTGGCCGGCGGACACCGTGCTATTCCACTCTATCGCCGCACGGCAGCACAAGGCGGCGGATGCGATACTGCTCTACCCGCCATGCGACAACGCATGGAAAGCGAACGAATCGCATTCTACTCTACTCGCCGCGCGGCAACGCGAGGAACTGACAACGTGGGATTCCGTTCTGCTCGTCACGCGGCAACGCAGCAAACGGACACACATCGCCTCCGGCTCGACCCGTCACGCGGCAACGCCTGGGACCCGGAATAATCCGCAACCGCGCTTGCAGCGGCAGGCGGGCGTCGGGCCGTTCTGCCTCTTGCGAAGCAGCCATATGCCCCTCCACCCACGCATCGAGTCCAAGATGGGCCCACAGTTTGCGGCCAACTCCCTGCGCTTATGGGCCCCCCAGACAGACAACAGCCCCAAAGGAAGAGTCAGGGGAGGAAGGGCCCGCGGCGTGTCCCCTCCGCCGACTCCCCCCTGGCGCCCCCCCCCTCCCCCCCCCGCACGCCCGAGCGCGGCGGCGGCATCGCGCGGCACCGCCATTGGATACCGTGCTATTCCACCCTTCGTCGCGCGGCAGCGCTGGAGCCGGAACCCACTCTTCCAGCGCGCGCATCACGCGGCAGCACAGGGGGGACCGAATCACATCAGATCCCGCCCTCTCCGTCGCTGGGCAACGCGGGATGCAGCCAGCAGGCTGCCCCGACCCCCGGCTCGCCCAGACGACGACCTCGATGACATCCTCCTGCCCCTCATTGCAAACCTGCTCCCCCTGCCGGCGATGCGCCTCGTCCTCCTCGAGTTCCTCCCTTCGCGCCTCCTGCTCCGCGTCCTCCTCGGTGTCCGCGTGAATCATTCGCCTCTGCTCCTCAACCTCCTCGTCTCCCACGTCGTCTTACTTCGCCTCGCACTCCTCCTCGTCATCCGTTCCCCCATCGCCTCCTTCTCCTCCACCTCCTCCTCCTCATCGTACGTTCCCCCACGCGGCCGCAGGCTCTCTCAAGAAACAGCAGGACGCAGAGAACACCGCGCACCATGGGGAGCGCCCTCCGCGAAGGGCGTGACGCACTTTGAAACGCGGCGCACCGCCCCTCCGACCCCTCCCTCCGCCCGGCCATGTTCTGGAAAGGCCGTCTAGCCAGAACGTGGTGGGGAATCTGAAGGCGGCCCTGACGGGCCCGAAAACCAGCCAAAGGCAGAGAAGAGGCTCTAATGCCAAAGCGCCGATTATGATTACTCGACGCGGAAATCCACACATGTCCATCTCGCTTCCCAGCACTTTCCGCTCTGAACGTTTGGTTGCGAGTGTCTGGGTGTGAGTGTGAGTCCGAAAGGACGACTGGTACGACGACGACGACGGCGACGGCGACGACGGCGGCGGCTACGAGGAGGCACATCGACGACGAACAGACAGGTAGGCGGTGAGCAGGCACACTCCCCTCTACTTCCTCTTCCTCCTCCTCGTCCTCCTCCTCCGCCTCATCCAATTCTCCTGACTTCAACGGATAGCACGGCTAGCGCCGTCCGTGCTTCCCAGGTTCGACGGGCCCCGTCGTCCTGGGCTCGTGCGTTCCGTTTCCTGGACTCGTGGTTTCCCGCTCTGGGGTTCACACCCCCGTTTCCTGGGTTTTCTCGCTTCCTTGGGTCGAAGTTGTTCCTTCCCCCTTCCCCCTTCCCCCTACCCTCTCGCCTGGACTTGCACTGGAAGGGCGGCGACGCGTGAGAACGTCAAAGATGGCCTCAGCGAGAAGGCCAACATCATTGATCATACTAGGGTTCGGGCCCAAGTTTGGCCTCCTGGGGAGGGGTTCTAATTGAGTACACTCCCTTCTTTGATCGATCACCTCCAAAATGGCCCCAGGATGGTCCCCGAGGCTCCCAACAGTGCCCCAACAGGGCCCAAGAGGCGCCCAGGAGGCCCCACGAGGCCCCCAAGATGCCCCCAAGATGCCTCCGAGGTACCTCCAAGATGCCCCCAAGAGACCCCCTAGAAGCCCCAAGCGGCCCCCCCGAAGCACCCAAACACGCTTTAAAAGGCCCCCTGGGGCCGTCAAGAGGCCCCCCAAGACGTTCCAACAGGTCTACAAGAAGCTCTCCAGAGGCATCCAGAGAGACTCCGAGAATCATCCAAGAGGCCTCTGGCCTCTCTGCTCGCCCTCTTCCTCTTTCCTCCTCCTCCTCCTCCTCTTCTTCTTCTTCTTCTTCTTCTTCCTCGTCCACCTGATCCTCCTCTTCCATCCTCCTTTCTCCCTCCTCCCTCTTCACCCTCTCCCTCCTCCTCGTCCTTCTCCCTTGGTTCCTCCTACATCCTCCCCCTCTTGAGGTATAACGGCTTCCCAGCCTTTACTCCATTGCGTGCTCCCCCACATGCCTGATCAGGTCAACTCGCTTGGGTGTCGATTCTGGATGGGCTGGTTGGGGTACGCGAAGCGGCTGACGGCTAAAATTGATGTCTGCGAAGTTGTGTTGATCTGTCACCCATACGCCGGAATGACCCCGAGCAGGAGTGACCTTTGGTGCGCAGCTTTCGGGGGCCGCGGGGGGCCAGATTCAAGCTCGCAGGCCAAGGCTGGGCCCACCGCTGTGGGCCCGCACCAAAGGTCACTTCGGCGAACAATCACTCCAACGAGTAGCCGACTCTTCGAGTCCACCAGGCCGCCGGTCGTCATCCAGGAAGGCCACCCCACTTCACCTGCCTGGGGCACTGCGACTGTCGAGTCGACGATCTCCAGCTGGGTCGGGCGGTAGCACCACTGCCTGGCCAACACCATACTGCCCCAGATCGAAAAGCAAGAGGTGGCATAAACAAGGGTCCAAGAGCAAGCGATGCGAAGCAAGATGCACAATGTACAATAATCCAAATTACGGCGAGGGCATTGGATAAATAATCGTTGGGTGAGGGATCCATGGTCTGGAAGTTGGTGGGACTCCAATCGTGCTTTGGCCATGGATCTCGCCACCGCCCTCATTCGGTTGTCGATCGATCGAGACATCGGAGCGGCAAACCATCACTTGTTGCAGAGGCTACCCCGTCTCTGCCAATGTCGATCAGACGACTGCGGTATCCCCAATCGGCTGGTCGCGACGAGGGCGATGCGGGCACACACCCAAGTGTCTCACCCTCTGAGATGCGCTGCACCTCGAGGGAAAGGGCGTGGTGCGCGCCGCCAACGCTCAGCGCATCTCTGCGAAAGCCAATCGCAAAGAACTTCCTCCCGACAGCAGCTCGCAACAGCGCAGGGCGTACAAAGCCGCGCCCAGGCCACGCAAGCAAGGATTAACTATCGAATTGGAACAGAGCCCCGCACATGCGGATGAGAAGCGAGGACGAGGAACCCGTCCCCGTGTCGCGAAAAAAACAGTTTACAAAGGAAATGCGACTGGGCACGCCACGTCATTGGAAAAGTATTGATGCCACACAGCCGTACCGTGCGATACCCCCCAGCGTTGAGTGGACTGGCAGACCGCAGAGGCATGGCTCAACACTGACCGCAGGACAGATCCCTGCACCTGCACGTCTTCAAACCAAGGCAGGCATCCGACGACGCATGGATTGTTTCAGCCCGCTGCCCCAAACTCCCGACCCTCTCCCCAGGCGCAATTTTGTCCATCCAAGGTTAGGTCGGGCATGTCCCCCTACAGGCGGATTTTTAACGAACAAATGAAAAAGACGTAGCACCCCGCTGATGCGGACAAGCGGGGGCGGTGGGGACGTCGGCAATTTGCGAAACTCGGGAGAAACCCGCCGCAGGCGCCAAAGTTTCACAAATGATATAACGAGCCCGCCGCAGGTGCCAATTTTTTCCTTAAACCAATGTGGGTAGGTCGCGGGTGGGTCGCAAATGGGTCGCTATTGGGTCGCGAGAGGGTCGCGGGTGTAGAGGGCAGAAAATCCACCCCATATGATCACCCCGACAAGCGAAGCCGTTTAGGAAACGCATACAAGGAATGAATCGAACAGGGCAAGGCTGTTTAGTAAACGCCCAGGGCCGTTTAGTAAACGTCAATTGTCGGGTCCGGGTGATTTTTCCTCCCTTGAGGGTGGGTCGCGGGGTGTGCCGCGGGTGGGTCGCGGGGTGGGTCGCGGGTGGGTCACGGGGTGGGTCGCGGGTGGGTCGCGGGTGGGTCGCGGGTGTATGGTTGCGGGTGGGTCGCGGGTGGGTCGCGGGGTGGGTCGCGGGGTGGGTCGCGGGTGGGTCGCGGGGTGGGTCGCGGGGTGGGTCGCGGTTGGGTCGCGGGTGGGACGACGACAGCAAACAACAACAACAACAACAACAACAACAACAGCAACAACAACAACAGCAACAACATCAACAACAACAACAGCAACATTAACATTAACATTATCATTACCATTAACATTAGCATTAACCTTAACATTAACATTAACATTTAAATTAACATTAACATTAACATTCACATTCACATTAACATTAACATTAACATTCAACTTAACATTAACACCAACACCAACAACAACACCACCACCAACAATAACAACAACACCACCACCACCAACAACAATCATTTTGAGACTGTTCGCCCTTATCTGCTCGAATGTCCAATAACGCCTATTTCCCAAACCCTCGATACCCGCCCTCTTCGTCTTCGATCGAACCCCTTTTGGGGGGTATACCTTTCTTCCCTGCAGGCCGAGCCCCAGCAAGCGGCGGGGCGGCCGCGGACCGTCGGCCAGGCCAGCGGCAGCGCTGATCGGCGAGGCGGCCGCGGCCCGTCGACCCGACCCCAAGAAGGACGGACAGGGGACCGACCACGATGACGACGACGACGACGTTGACGACGACGGCGACGACGACGACGACGGCGACGACGACGACGAGCGAAAGCGAGAGCGAAAGAGAACGACAGCAGGGCCACAAGGACACGAAGTAGGCCACGAAGGGCAACAGCGGGGACACGAAGGGAATGCGTATGGGGCCACGAAGAGCGCGAACGAGCGGGGGCCACAGATAATGCGGGGCCGCAGAAGGCAACGATGGGGCCACTGAGGGTAGCAACTGGGCCACGTAGGACAGATGCATGTGGGGCCACCACGGGCGCGAACGAGCGGGGGCCACGAAGGGCATAGATATATGGGGCCACGAAGGGCAGCGAGGGGGCCACGAAGGGATGCAACGGGGCCACGAAGGGAAGCGAGGGGGCCACGAAGGGCTGCAACGGGGCCACGAAGGGCTGCGACGGGGCCACGAAGGGATGCAACGGGGCCACGAGTGGCTGCAACGGGGCCACGAAACAAAGCGAGGGGGCTACGAAGGACTGCAACGGGGCCACGAAGGGCAGCGAGGAGGCCACGAGGGGCTGCAACGGGGCCACGAAGGGCAGCGAGTGGGCCACGAAGGGATGCAACGGGGCCACGAAGGGAAGCGAGGGGACCACGAAGGGCTGCAACGGGGCCACGAAGGGCAGCGAGATCGCGATTCCTTTGTAATCTGTGAGGGAGTCCTAAGCGTGAGCGCGACTCCCGGGTACCCGGGTGTCGGGAGCGCGGCGTTTGAATACATTGCGAGAAATTCCAACGCAAGGGCGCTATTCTTCAGTAAATTGCAAGCAAGTCTCCAGCGAGAGCGCGACTCCAGAGCGCTGGGATAATACTTAAATTTTAAGGAAGTCACAAGCGCGAGCGCGATTCCTGAATAAAACGCGAGGAAGTCTCGGGCGGGAGCGGGGGTCCTGGCTAAATTGTGAGGAAGTCTCAGGCGGGAGCCGTTGTTGTTGTAAACAGGGGGCCAACAACACATCTTGACCTTCAAGACCTTCCCTGATAAAAAATAGGGTGCGAGCCACGGGAAGGGCACTTCAATCGAAAACGGAAAAAAAAACAATGTGCACTGGACGTGGGGGATCAACAATAATTTTCTTCAGACATGAGAGTTCAACAGCAGCAGTAGCAGCAGCAACAACGCAACAAGCAGAACTCTCAACACGAATTCCCTATTCAGCCACGCACCCAGGGACAATGAATGACCGTTCGGCCCCCTCACTCCGATAAAAAATACCCAACAAGATTCAAACAATACTAAACAAAATCGTCCCCAGACTGTTTTTCCCCTACTTTTTCGTACTCCTCCTGTAGAGGGACAGGCCCGACTTCAGTCCAAGGCCAACGTTTGATAGCCCTGGGGCCCAGAAGCGGCCCCCAGCGCTTCGCCCGAAATCCGCCCCGCCTCGAGGGAACGTCCCGCCCTCGAGCCGCTTCGCCCTGGTCAGGGGGGGACGTCAAGGTGAGGCGGGGGCATCGGTGGGGCTGGGAGGAAGATCGCTCCAAGCGGCTCCTGGACAGTGGGGATGTGAGCATCCAGCTGGATTCGTCCCTTAGACCCGCCCTGGGAGAACCCCTCCGCTACGAACCCCCGACCTGGGAGCGGTTCGCCCTCGGACCGCCTCGCCGGCGCGCCCCTTCGCAGCTGCGCCGCTTCGTCGGAGCGTCGCCTCGCCGTCGCAGGGACGCGATGGGAAAGACTCAGTGGCAAGCTAAGCGGTTGCAACTGGGACCAGGCAGCGCGACCGAATGTGCAGGCAACCGTGCGAACACAGACAGTGCCGTGGCCGCCGCGAGTTGTCCCTCGTGACGTGCACCCCTCCGAGACCGCACCTGCTGCAGCTCGAGGCCCTGCGGTTCGGAGTTGGACAACCATCCCCAGCGGCAGCGACCGCCTGGCGAGCTCGGCCTCACGAGCAGAGCCCGCGCTCGCCTGCAACACCTCCAAAGCCTGCCTGCCGCGACCGAAATCTACGTGTGGGTGGATGTCCAGCCCGTCGAAGTTAGCAGCTTCGACCAGGTCGTGCTGACCGGCGTCTGCCAGCCCTGAAATCTGAAGAATGATGTGAACACGGCTGCCGATGCCTCTTGTTGCAAGGTTTCCCTTGCCCGTCCTCGCGCACATTGCAATTTCAGTGATGAGTCACGAGGGATCACTTCAGTTTTGCCCCCAAATGCCCGTAGCCACATGAACGTAATACGGTAAAGCGGGGGAACAGGTTCAATGTCCAGCAACTGCACCGTGCACAAATGACTCCTACACTCACGAAGCCCATGAGACAACTCTTGGGCGTCCCAACTGGCTGGAGACCGATGCAGAGACAATAGGGATGAGGGGGGCTTACCGCTTGAAGCAGATTTGAATACAAACTATCATTGGGCTCCGAAGGAACGGCCATCAGGGTAAGAGGTACGTACAATCGGCACGTACGACAAGAAACAGCTACAAGAAATCTAGGGGCGCGCTTGTCAGCAAGCTTTTAGGTTCCTGCGGTGCCACACGGCTGCGGTGGGCCCCCAAGGCTGTCAGGAGATAAGGAACCTCTACGGGCCACCTCTTGAAGACTGTTGCCTTATTTGATGTGCCAGCTGGATGCAGGGCTCCTAGACTCCCTTCAGAGAGAAGCTGTGAAATCTGAGTCCATGTGAATAGGCCAATGTTGGGTATTCCGAGGCAGGGTCCACCGGAGCCGCAAGCAAACGCGTGCAGTCTATACGCGGCGGAAGCCGCAAGATGGTCGAAATCAAACGTAGCACAATCTGACTCATGCCATATCAAGAAAATCGGGACTCAACCAAAGGCTAATTATATCAAGAAAGTCTGGGGGGCTCTGCATGATGTGGAATCGTGAGCTTCGACATGCTTAGCAAAAAGGCTGGCGCCCAAGCAGTCCTGCACATGTCCTAGCTCAACCTCAGACTCACGATCTGTGCAAGATAAGAAAGCCTGCAAGTCGAAGCCCCGCTGGGCCGAGCCAGTGGGACCTGGCCCAGCGGGGCACCTCGAGATCGCGCGAGGCTGACGACCAGCCAGGGCGCACAATGCCAAGGTGGCCGAGCCCGAATGCAGCCGAGACGTGGCCACACGGAACGCCGGGCACGACGAAGACGCGCCCCTGCGCAGAAGACCCCAGGCCGCCCATGGACCGCGGAGCTGCGCCGGACGACGAGGACGCCACGGCGGTTCGCGCCCACACGCTTCTGGTCGCAGCGATGGCGGGTCTGTCGCTTGCGCCCCTGCGCCCAGCCTGCACCTTCTTTCCCATCCCTCCTCCTCCTCCTCCTCCTCCTCCTTCGTATCGCCAGCATCTTCATGCTGATAATCAACGCTTCGCCCATCCTGTCGTCCTCCTCCTCATCATCCTCGCGCTGGCTCCGCCTCCGCACGCCTTCGTTCTCTGAGGCCTCGCCGCTCCGCTGCCGTGACCGTTTTCTCGCTTCGCTAGGTGCCTTTGCCGCCTGTCCTGCTCGGACTCCTGAAGCACAGCTGTCGGAGGTGACGGGCCCAGGGTGGGAAGCATCGAGCTCGACTCAGCGACACATCGCCGATGGATCGCCGCAAGGCCCCGACAGCGAATCTGGCCCTGCCTCGGGGGCCGTGGCTCTGTCGGAGAGGAGGAGGAGGAGGAGGAGGAGGAGGAGGAGGAGGAGGAGGAGGAGGGGGAGGAGGGGGAGAGGAAACGGACTACCTACTAGACCTGCCGGGCAGGGGTGGGCTCCCGGGCACCTGTCGGCCAAGGATGGGCGGTGAAGGGTGTCTGTGCGGACCCCCAGAGCCCGTCGCCCCCTACCGTTGCCCCCGAGCCAACACTAGGTCGGGCATGTCCTTCTACAGGGGGATTTGGGAAGAAAAATTAGAATAGCAAAAACATGCGCCAAAAAGTGTCAGACATATCAGAAAAATTGCCCCCATAATATTTTTCTGACTATCTTTGAATCTTCTCCCCCTGTAGAGGGACAGGCCCGACTTAAAGCTAACACCCGCATACACGTGGCGCAATTTTGTGGGCGAAGGCCGCCCTAAGGGCCGCGGCACTGCCCGCCTCGCTGGCCTGACGCGTCGGCCCTGCTGCGCGAGCCCTGGCACGCGGCGCCTGGCAGCCCCGGCGACAGGAGCGCGACTCGGGCTCCCACGGTGGGCACCTGTGTGCGAGCTGGAGCCCGATGTTTTGCTATTCGCGATGACGCCCGTGACAAGCCCCGCCCACCCCCCTTCCAGCCTGGAAGGCGCCGGTGCCATCTGGGAATGAGCCACTCCTGGAAGGCGCCGGCTCGAACCGTGACGTGACCGGCCCCCTCCCCCGGCCCCTCCCCGCCCTCCCCTGTCATCGCCAGGAGATGGCAGCAACAGTTTCGTGGGCACCAGGTGTGCGCAATGGTCGAGCCCACACCGTTCAAGCCCGCTCCCCAGCAGCGCTGAGGCCTTACTGTCCGACTCCGGCTCGCAAAGGCCGCGGCACGGGCTCGGCCTCCGCAGGCTGGCCGCCCAGCCTCTCGCAGCCGCCGCGGACTCCGCCAAGGGCGGCGCGGCCCTGCGCAGGGCGGCAGAAAAGGTCAGCTTTGATCGCCTGAAGCGTTTGGGCAGAAGTTTGCTGCTCCGGATCTCCGAAAGCACATTCGCTGGCCAGAAAGGCCAGCATCATGACCGTGCACGCAGCGCTGGCCCACTCATCGAGCTTCGCTGTGATGTGCCACGTGAATGTGCCATGTGCCGTCCGCCTCGCTGTGCTGGCACGTGCGCATACAGCCGCCCGTGAGCCGCGAGCCAGAATGGCCAGGCAGGCGGCTCACCGTATCTTACAGTAGGAGCCCGACCACAAGAAACCTTCCATAAGAAACCCAACCCTGAGACCCTAGGACGCCCATGGACTTTTGGTATGGGGACGTCACGAATTCCATAGCAAGACCATCGAAATCCAGGGCACCCTGGAAGAAAGTAGGGTGTTTCTTGGCATGGGCTTCCACCGTATCTTACGCTCCTGACCCCCCGACCCCCGCTCCTTCTGTCTCCGATCTTGCGGTCAAAGGTCACGGCGACCCACGCCAGCTTGTCGTCCTCGTCGGGGTCTGGGTCCTCGCGGCAGCCGTAAAAAAGTGGCGGGGCAGCTGAGCTCTTTGATACCTTGCCGTCCAGCCGTCCATCGCTCGAGCTGAAAACCGTGTTTTCCGTTTTCGTTTCGTTTTCGTTTTCCCTCGTTCTGTCTCCGTTCCGTTTTTGGCGCAAAACGAAACCAGAACGAAAACGGTCCACGAAATCGCCAAAACACCATTTAGCTCCAGCCCTGTTGCCGTCGTTCGCCTCTCCACGGCCTCTTGCTCACAGGGGGTCACAGATGCGGGCGCCATGGCGTGCAAGTTGCGCGATCGCCGAAGGAGCGCTCTGCAGACGCGGAAACGAAAACGACTAATCATCCAAGGCGCGTCGGTTTTCGGTTGGAAGCGCCCTCGATGCTCCGTGCACTTGGGTGGACAAGGCGAGATATAAGCTGGAAGAGCAACACTTCACTACCTTGGAGTTGCCCCCAAACACTGGACGCTCGTCCGTATTTGCACGCCCCCTCTTGCTCCTCCTCCTCCTCCTCTTCCTCTTCCTCCTCCTCCTCCTCCTCCTTCTCCCTCCCTCCTCCCCCTCCTCCTCCTCCTCCTCCTCCTCCTCCTCCTCCTCCTCCTCCTCCTCCCCCTCCTCCTCCTCCTCCTCCTCCTCCTCCTCCTCCTCCTCCTCCTAAGCCCATCTGGCCTCTGCTGGGAGGGGGCCAGATCAGGGTCGCGTCGGGTGGTCGATCGATCCCTCGCGCGATCGCCAGCGATCAGGCCGCCCAGGAGGTCGGGCTCACGCGAGCCGATCGGCGCCCCTGGGGGGGTGAGGCATCCCTTGCCTCGCGGGCCTCCCCCCTTGGGCCCGATACGCGGCCGCGCGCTGCTCCTGGCGCCGCCGCTGCCGCCGCGCCGCAGCCGGCGCCTCGCGGCTGGAGACGGCGGCCAAGGAGCCAGCTTGGCATCGCCGAGACCGCCAGCGACGGTCCTCGGCGCGCGTGCTGAAGGCAGCCTGCCTGCTGGCGCCGCCGGCCGTGGCTCTATGTGGTGTGCGCCCCCGACGGAGGTGAGGCGCCCCGCGGCGAGCAAAAGCCAGCGGCGCGCATGGAGGAGGCTGCTCCTGGCGACCAGCCGCCAGGCCGCCCTGGACCACGGGCTGGTCGAGCTGGATTTCGGCGCCTGGCCAGCCACGCCCTTCGACTACGACTTCGTCGAGGGCTGGCTGCAGGAACCCGCGCGCGAGAAGTGCGAGAAGTGGGAGGCGACGGTGGTGCCCAACACGTTCAGCTACAGCGCTGAGACCTGCCCCGCAAGCCTCGAGCCAGGGACCAGCGACTACGCGACGTGGGCGGCGAAGATGGGGCCCGACACGATCAGCTACAGCACTGGAACCATGTCATGCGAGAAGGGGGAGGTGAAGTTGGAGCCCACCGTAACCAGCCGCAGAGACACGGCGGGATGCGAGAAGCTGGAGGCGAAGACGAAGGTCGAGCCCAACGTGACCAGCTACAGTGCAGAGAGCCCATGGGCGGAGAGGGAGGCGAAGACAGAGCCGAACTTGATCAACTACAGTGTCGAGGCGCGCGAGAAGGAGCGAGAGACGTACGAGCGAGACGGGCGAGCAGTGGCTGCTAAGTTGGCGAAGCTGGAGCCCAATATCGTTTGCTACTCCTCGTCGAGCCTCGCCGCCACGGCTGGATCAGAGAAAACGGTTTGCGAGCAGTGCGTGAAAACTGTTTGCGAGAAGTGTGAGAGCGAGCAGAGCGAGAAGGAGGAGGCGAAGATAGAGCCCGACATCACCCGCTACAGTGCTTGGATCAGGGCATGCGAGAGGCGGAAAGCGAAGCTGGAGCCCGACATCATCGCTGGCCACAGTACTGAGAACAGCGCATGCGAGAAGAGGGAGGCGAATACAGAGCCCGACACCATCAGCTGCAGCGTTGGGATCAGGGCTTGCGAAAAGGGGGAGGCGAAACTGGAGCCCGACCACAGCATTGAGGGGCCTCCAAACGAGTCTTCGAATTTCCTTCCGACCGACCTGGTTTCTGGAGAGCCGAAGAGCGACCCCTTCGAGTCCCAGGCCGACCTCGAGCTGGAGGCAATAGTGAGCGCACCTGAGAAGGCGGACAGGACGTCCTCTCAAGAGCCCTCCCATCCAGGTGCGCAGACAGCCGCGAACATCGTCGACACGCGCGCCTGCGAGAAGGGGAACGCGAAGCTGAGCAGCTACTGCGTCAGCAGGGCCATGTGGCACGCACGCTCCCAAATCGCCAGCACATGGCTAGAAGGCGGCGAAGCGATCGAGCCCAACGCCATCAGCTACAGTGTTGGAATCCAATGGGAAGCGGAGGACATACATGGAGTGTGGGGGCCCCTTCCGAGGGTTGACCAGAAAAAGGTGGAGAAGCGATATCAAAGATATCTCCACGGTGAGGAAAGCGGCAAGTTCACGATCACAGGGTCGAACGGGAGGCCCACGTGGCCCCTCAGAGCAGATTTCGACAACATGCTGCTCCTGAGGGCCACAAGGGCGAAGGCTTCGATCAAAGGCATCAGGATACGCAGAGTGTAATTGCGCTGCGTGAGAGAGGAGTTTACATGCTGTATGAGTGAATTGCAGCGTGGTTGTTCTGTGCTGCGCTAGGGGCCCCAAGCGTTTCTGGGCTCCCGAAGCGGCACCCGCCTAGGCGAAACTCGACTGCGTCGTCGGCGAATTCTCCCGAATTCTCCTCCTCCTCCTCCTCCTCCTCCTCCTCCTCCTCCTCCTCCTCCTCCTCCTCCTCCTCCCCCTCCCCCTCCCCCTCCTCCTCCACAGTTACTCAATATGAATACTACTCTCCCTCTTCCCCCGAAGGCGGTCTGGGAATATTCGACCCCCCCCGCGTACTGTTTTTTAACACACAGGATTCCCGGGAGTTGGGTTTTCGCCTGCGTTTTTTTTCAAAATGCTGCTCTCGCTGAGGCGCCGGCCTCATTTCTGCTCCCGAATCGTTCCGAATCGTGCTCCCGCTGCAGCGTGGGCCTCATTTTCGGATCGGTGTTTGGCCTCCGTCGTTCAGGATGGCGTTCTCGCCCCAGCGCGGGCCTCTTTCTCGCGCGCCCATCCGCCCGCCACCACCGCGCCGCACCACGCCCCGCCCCGCCGCACGCACACCCACCGCCACTTCCACCCACCAGCGCACGCACGCACGCACGCGCACCACCACCGCGCACCGCCACCACCACCGCACTACCCCACCCACCACCACCACGCTACACCGCGTCACACCACATCACACGCGCGCACACACAGACACACACGCACGCACGCACGCACGCACGCACGCACGCACGCACGCACGCACGCACGCACGCACGCACGCACGCACGCACGCACGCACGCACGCACGCACGCACACACCACACACACACACACACACACACACACACACACACACACACACACACACACACGCACGCACGCACGCACGCACGCACGCACGCACGCACGCACGCACGCACGCACGCACGCACGCACGCACGCACGCACGCACGCACGCACGCACGCACGCACGCACGCACACACACACACACACACACACACGCACACACACACACACACACACACACACACACGCACACACACACACACACACACACACACACACACACACACACCACCACCGCCACCACCACCACCGCCATCACGCACGTACGCACCTGGCCCACCACCAAACCACCAAGACGCCACACCACGTCACACCACAGCACACGCGCACACACACACGCACACACACACATACACACCACCACCACAACAACCACAACCACGCACACACGCACGCACGCACGCGCACCACCACCCACTACGCACACGCGCGCGGAGCCACAGGTCCGCTACGACACGCGTCCGCGGATAGAGAAAATCAGCGCCATGGTAAGGGATGGGAGGGAGGGGTAGGATGTCAGATGTTGACGCGAGCGCACCTAACTTGTCCTCCTCCTCCTCCTCCTCCTCCTCCTCCTCCTCCTCCTCCTCCTCCTCCTCCTCCTCCTCCTCCCTGCTTTCGAGAAGGAAAGGACGTCGTGGGATAGGGGGTCTGACATGGGCGGCCTTGGCGCCACCGGGCGGGGATAGCACGCGCGCGCTCGGCCCACGCGCCGCGCCCCGTGGATCAAGCAGAAACCGGAGGTACACGGCAGGGCGGACGTGCCCCAAGAGGGCAATCCGGCAATGCGCGGCCAAAAGACGCACGCGATACAAGAGGGGGGGAGATTGGAAACTGTTCTTGCGATCGTTCGCCCGCGCGCAGCTCGCCACGACGCTGCGCAGTCCGTCTCTGTCTCTGTTTCTCTTTGCTTCTCTCTATCTCTTTATTCGTGCATTCCTTTGTGTATAACGTGTTCTCTCTCTCTCTCTCTCTCTTTGTTTCTCTCTCTCTCTCTCCCTCCTTGTCTGTTTGTCTCTTTATGTGCTATCTATTTGTTTTGTTCCTCTCCCTTCCTCTCTCTCTCTTTCTTTCTTTGTGTTTGTTTATCTCTCTCTCTCTCCCTCTCTCTCTAGATATACACACGCTAGGGGGGATCCCAAGATCTACCTTTCGGTCCTCTCAAAAATGATCCCGGCAAAGCAACCTAACAGCGATGTGTAAAAACATAGCTGGAAGCATTGCCTATGGTATTCATGTAGGAGTGCTGGTGTAGAATTTGTTGTTCTCGCAGTCGCATTCGGATTCGCAGTGGCAGTCGCAATGGCAACATCAGTCCCAGTCGCAGTCGCAGAGGCCGGGCGCAGGCGCGGCCGGCCGGGGCAAGCAGGTGGCCGGGGCAGCCGGCCGGCCTCCCCTCCTCCTCCTCCTCCTCCTCTTTCTCCTCCTCCTCCCTGCTCGTCCTCGTCCTCCTCGTCTTGCTCGTCCTCCTCCTCCTCGTGCAGCCGGCCGGGGCAGGCAGCCGGGGCAGCCGGCCGCCCTCTCCTCCTCGTGCTCGTCCTCCTCCTCCTCCTCCTCCTCCTCCTCCTCCTCCTCCTCCTGCTCGTCCTCCTTCTCCGGCTCCTCCTCTTCG